TAATCAGGAGCAAATGAACAAAATGAAGACCATTGTGGTGAAAGGAAGCAAACAAAAGATTCTCAAGGCTACAAACCTTTGTGTGGTTCCCGCAACTCCTCTTTCACTCCCTTTGGCAACTGACATTGAAAGTCTAGTCAGGTTTACATTTGCACTTCTGTGGGGGAAATTTGCTACCAACCTGCTGTTTGAACCACACATCATAGAGAACTGAAAGCTGGCAAGGACACTAGAATTTATCCTGTAAAAATACATAAATAAGAGTTCTGTTTTGATTCAGGTTTTATTTTCTTGCATTTTATGACTTCTGCTTTGGCAGACAAGAGTACATCTGCTTGGTTGGGTGAGACTCTTGCATTGTATTTGCAATATTCACTTACTGACTCTCCAATAAGTTCTGTGTTTCAAGCTCCAAATTCAGAGCAAAATATATTGAATGCACACATGGACCAGAGTGCAACACTGCCAGGAATGTAAAGTGCAACCTTCACAAAACCAAAGACAGGAATATGCAACAAAGAGTAATTAAGTGACAAAACAAGCATTATGTAATATCTCCTCCCTCACTAAAAGCTCCAACCCTATGTTTTAAACTACTTCTCCCATTATACAAACATGTGGGCCTATTGCATAGGCAGGTAGATGGCTGTTGAACCAGGTGGACTACATCCAACACTACAGCCTCTGGGAAGTCAAATCCAAATGAAATAAAAGCACCTTATAAGAGAGCTGTGCTAAAACCTTGTAATGAGATACCTGACAGTTTGGGCTGAGTTTCATGCAGCTGGTTCAGCAAGTCACAGCAAGGCAATTTATCAGGTGGCCATCCCTCGTTACAATCTGAATGATAATTTCTGTGTCTGAAAGAAAGGGGGACTTCCAGGGGGAGGTCTTGGGCAAGACAATCTCTTCATTCCTGCTCAGAAAGATGGATGCTCAGTCTTTTCCCAAGAAGAGTTAACAATTGAAAATTTAGGACCACAAAAGCATTCAGTATCTTTTAACTTACACTGAGAGAGAAAAAAAAAAAAAAAAAAGTCTTTAGGGTAGGGTACTAACAAATGTAAAATGCAGCCAAGACACCATTACTGACAGGAAAAAAAAAAAAAAAAAAAAACCTGTTTCATATACAGTTTCCTGTAGACAAGTGTGCATCTTCCTCATCTGATATCTGTACAGTCAGGACCACAGAAATGCTGCCACCAACAAAACCCCAACTGCTTCTCCTCTGTTAGAAAAAGCTGTAGTGTTCTACAGTCTACAGTCTGCTTCTGCAGGCTGTTCAAGCTTTTTATACAGGCTGCCTTAAGACATACCATGTGGATTTTGCCCATCTTAATCACCTAAGTCCACCTAAGCTCGAGTCCACCTAAGCCAAGCAGAGCTGCTGATCCTGTTAGTTCTACATGTGAAACAGTTGACTCTACATGTGAGTCAAGACCTCATTTCTACTGGATATCAGGAGTTCAAGCAACTCTCACAGCAGATACATTCCAGTTTAAGAGACAGTTGGGTATAAAAGCTTTCAAGAGTTGGCAAATACAGTTATTTCCTAAACAGCAGCCAAGACTGCAGTCATTTTTTCCTCCTGTCATTTTTTCGCTTAAGAGTACATCTTGAAAAAGGCATTTCTGTGAGAAGTTCCTAGTTTTTTTGACAGCAATAGGATTTTAGTCAGAACTAAGGAACTTCCATGCATTGCTGTGCTTTATTAGTACAGCACATTAATGACCCAAGACTCTTGGATGCTTTTTCCATATCAAATAGAAGAGGAACTTCTTTCAAGGGAAGATTCTGACTGGGCTCTCTCCTGTGAAGGAATATACACCTGAAAGAGGTGATCAATTTAAAATGTTCTCAGCTAATGAGACCACTGGTACACACTGATCTCTTAAACAAAATAGCAATGTTGCAGCTAGGAATACTTAGAGAAGACAGACTAACAAGGCAGCTTGTTTTTTGAAACAGTCCTACAGGCCACAATTTTTTTTAGAGGTTATTGCTCTGTATGCAGCACACAACCTTCCCTTACCCCACTCCTAGCAAGCAAGGAATGAGAGCAAAATACGCTAGCTGACAGAGATTAAAGGGGCACAACCTCATCTTCATTCTTTTTGCCTCTAGACATGGACTCTACAATGATGGAAGACACTCATTTTTACACAGTATGCATTCAGTACCATCTTAAACACCAAATGTTTGGTATTACATGGCTCTAATACCAAGTAGTACACTGTCAGAGTTACGTTACAAGCTGAGCTGAGACGTGACAGCAGATTTCTAGTACTGCTGGACGTTGTGTTCCACCTCAACAACATCCAAAGTTAAATTCATTGCTGACCAAGACCCCTTTCCTCAGTCCACTGAAAAATTTCTTCAGAGAAGGCATTAGTGTTACACCATACAGTATGAGAGATTTTGGGTTGACCAGATTTGTACTCACTATACATAGGACTTTCTCTAGGTACAATATCCAGCTGACCCTTACGGTATGTTTAGTACACAGAGTACATCAAATAAGTCTTTGCACAGTTATATGTAATCTTCATGGTATCAGAGCTTGACAGTCCAAAACTTCATCTTAAACAAATCCACACAGAGTGACACCAAGGGCAAAATACTAATATCCACAAGAAAGACTTCTGTAATGTATTTAAGGAAAGACCTAAGGCCTAACAGGAAAGGAAAAAATAGAAAGGGGGGGGGGCAGAGGAGAAGGTGGGGAATGCAAGAAGAGAAAGGCTCTAATGTCTATACATAAAAAAAAGGCAGAAAGTGAGAGTTTTGGAACTATGAGCATGGGACATAGTTGGCTGTTTTAAAAGTCAGAGAAGGACAGAGTAATCAATCATGCAGGGAAGTCAGGTGAGCTACTTCAGTATTTAGAGATAGAAAAGGTAAAGGTGACTAAACAGCAGTGTGTGTTAATTATGTGATACAGTTGGTTTGAATCAGTTGAAAAATAAATACTTTAGGGTAGAGTGAACGGGCAAGTCAGGAACTTCACTGCCAATGGAATCAATTAGCTCAGGAGTTAATCCATATCTAAATCTGTTAATAAAGAAGTATTATTAGGAAATAGGTCTTCATTGTAGGCTAAATTCTCACAGCTGTGCTAAATATAGAAAGCCCTCATTTTCATGAAAGTTAGATTTCTTTGCCAACCACTAAAATAATTAGGGGGAGATGTAATTTAGATCCTATTTTGATAATTATTGCATTGAATTATCACGTATTCATTCATTTAGATAACGAAAGCACAAAGTCAGTCTGTAACCCACCATTTTCAAAGTGCATCCTTTGAGATTTTAAGAAAAACAGTCTGGCCAAAATTGCTGCCAGAATGAACTACGAAGGAGGATTGCACTACTTAAAGACAAAAAGTAAAAAAAGGCACCCCTTCCCCCCACACTACCATAAGTAATAATTAAAAAGGAGAAGGGGAAGAACAGTAGTATGCATCACACTCATGGGGAAGAATTTCCCATTTTGAACTTTATTTGATAAAGTTTTCATGATTTACACAGTAGTTAGCAAGGAATAGAAGGCACATATTGATCAGACAGCAGTTTCTCCAACATCGAGAAGTGAAACAAAAAATGCTAAAAGTCTGGAGAGTGTAGCTCAGGTAAAGCAGCAAAAGGTTCTTCAGTCTTACAAGTGCATAGAGATAAGGAAAAGGAAGAAGGTGGGAGGAAAAGGGGAGGGGGGTAAAAAAAAAAAAAAATCCATCGCCATCAAGTAGCCTCCTGAAGTGAGGAGTTAGTCATCAGAGAAAGCGAGTATGCTGAAAAAGAAGGGAAAAAAAGGCATCCTCTCTTTCTCCCTGCCCCTCAACAGACTTACAGAAGTAATGAAGCAGCTTCTCTTTAGAAAGAGAAGGAAAAAAGTCCAGTAACAGAAATTCTGGTCTCTTCCAGTGTGCACTTCAAAGTTATTTTATTTATTTTTAAATGGTACTGGTGAGGAGGAAAGCAGCACTTTCTCTGAAAACCAGCTATTATTAAAGAAAAAATTACTGTGTGGACAGTTACTCTGTCCTACGTATTTTAGTAGAGGCTGCTGAAGTAAATTGCCCAGTCTCTGCCCATGGCCAATAGAGGTGAATTTCTGGAAGATGATACATGTTTTGTACTAGACATTTATTTTAGGATGGGTAAAATTGCTCCCTACAAGGGACTCTAGACTCATAGAAAGGACAGAGTTTTAGAGTCAATGTCTAATGCTAAGCAAGCTGAATTCCTCCCAGCACATGAGGTCTTGACTCTGGTTATCTGATGGAGGAGAAAGAAAAAAAAAAAAAAAATCACCTAGCTGTTATAGTTGGCTGAGAATCGGGGATGCTGAGAAGAAAAATATTTAGAGACAACCAAAGCTTTGCTTTTGTTTTCAAATGTAGAAAGAGAAACACAAATGAAACCTGAAAATTATGGCGAGACAAGATAGTTCCAGAACAGTAGCTGTGGCTTTAAACGACGTCATTGAAACATGGCAACATGTGACTCTTCTACAGTGGTGTACCCACCTCTGTATGCTCTGTTGCAAGACTTCAATTTTTAAAGAAATAAAATCCAAGCACTACCTCTATAAAAGAATAACACACTCTAGATACATTCTTTATTTTATAAAAACATTGTGATCTTTTGAAACAAGTTAGCTTCTGTGACCAAAAATAGAGAATGGGTCCTTTTTTTTCCTGCTTAATGATATACCCCCAGCTTCTCAAACATGAGGAAATTGAAAAAGTTAAATATTTAAGAGGAGAACATTATTTGAAGAGGGAAAAACACAAACAAATAACTCCAACCACCATGCGCACAGGCTATCCTAGCCAGTAAAGTCTAATAGCAAGACAGAATTCAGAATTACAGTTCAGTAGTGGACCAGATGCCCCTGCTGAAAGAATCTCCAAAGACATCAGTTTTTGCACAGAGATAGTA